TGGAATTTAGGATTACCAGAATTTGCGACTTATTGGTAGATCGTATCGTTTTCAGCTCGGTCAAATGCGCATGGTGCTCTATATCAGCTGGCAGGTAGACACTCTTGGCCAAATTAAATGCCATAAGATGACCCTTTTCTGTGCAAATAGAGTCTGCCGTAGACACAACGCGGCCCCTGAAAGACGCAACTAGTGTCCACGCCGGAGTGGGAGACGATGTAGCTCAGCGTCCACCTGAAGATCTTTCACAGAGCGTGGCCTCAGGCTGCTTGGTTTCTTCCTCATCCGTTAAATGCTATGTCTGAGTCACTGAAGTACAGGGCCTCTTGCTTGGTCAAGATGACGAAGCTCTGACAGATGGGACGGCGACCACGGACTCGCGTACTTGACCAGTTGGCGACAGCTCGGTCTGCTCCTCGGCGTTGGAGGTAGAAGTCTGTTTGGTAATAAGGGCTTTTACAGCTCGCCTTTTTACGATTGCTTGCTCTTCAGTTAGAGGAATGAGATTGATTTGGGGGAGATTTGGATCCGGCTCAGGCAATGATTCGAGAAGGAAGTCTGTGACCTTCGTTTTCCTCTTACCATTATACCGGTAGGTCCGCTCAAAATTTAAGAGCTCGGTCCAATCTCAGTGGTGGTATCGAAGCGCGGCGCGAAGGGCGTCTTGATTCACATAGGCGTAAGTAGTTTTTAGGTGGTTCAAATCTGCAAAAGAGGAAACAAGGGTTAGCATGGCATGAATACGTGAAATGGCAAAAGAGACGGACCGAACTATCCTTACCAGCTACCTCCTTATTCCAGTTGATATTTCGGCCTGGTATTAGGGCTTCATTGTCCTCAAAATTTCCAGTAACCCAGATAAAGTCATCGTCATTTAAATCCTTGTCTGGCGTGCGTTTGATGATTTTCTCTTGGCCTTTTCTAATTCTCAGGTAGTAGACCCAATTGTAGTCATTTTGGTTGAGCGAATATTGATGGAATAGCTCGGCCAATCTGAGGTTGAGGCCAAGGTGGCAATTTAGCTCGGCTATGCCATTGATTATTCTATAAGTGTTGGTGGACAATTAAGTGGGGCATAATTAGGTTTGTCTAAGGAACTCACAAATAAAGGGCTGCACGGGGAACTGAAGCCCGCCCTCAACAATAGATAGAAGGGTGAAAGGAACAAAACTAGGCTTGCCCTATAGTGTGATGTCTAGCTTGGCTAACGTGAATTGAACATCGTCTAGGATGTTGTATTCCCTTCTGAACTCGGCTATGGCACTGGGCGAACTCATGAGGAACTGGTATTTGCCCATGGGTGTGTTCTTAGTTTGTTTATAAATATCTGCTTGGATCCTTAGCCCGGCGTTGTGGTGAATGGTGTGCCTGGGTAAAACCTAGTAAAAGTCTGCACAGTAAAGAACATAAAATGTGTTATGGCTAGCTAGTGACCGGGCTAAGGCATCAGTGTAAATTAGTTTGCTCAGCTAAAAATTAAGACAAGGCCTTAGCCTGATCCTGAGAAAATATGAGATTTTTGCATAATCTATGTATAGAGCCAGGCAGGAGCGCGGTCGTGTTTAGATGGTGCTTTCCTAGTTTGGTGAGACACATCTAAGTGAGCACAAACAAGTTTGTAGCTTAGTTTCAAAACGATTTTGGATCAAAACCAAAATTCTTGTGTGATTTCAATTCCAATTGGGGGGGAGTTCTTCCTAAGGTGTAGAGTTTTTGGAAGCTAATGCAGTTTTAAGTTCGTTTTTACACATGTAACAAATACTAAAAGTACTATTGCAGTATCATTGATGGGTTCATAGTCCAAGAACATGAAGAGTCATATGAAGTGCGCGAAAGAATATGAAACTTATAAGTTTTTTAGTGGAGAATGTGGCACAAATCAGCAAGTGGCGTTACAGCAACAGTGTTGAGTTTGATTTGATGACGAAAACAATGGTACCAGGACTTGAATACAGACAAGTGTAGGATTGGAGTTTTGATTGCAGAGATTGGAGAGGTTAGAGGATAAACAGTAAAAGATGACGGTTAGAGGATGAACAATAAACGATGACTGTTCGAAATTAAGGGGCTGTGTTTATAATGGAGGCAAAACGGCGGGCCTTTTCAATTTTTTGATAAGTGTGAGACAATTGTTACAGTACGGAGGGGCAATCGGCACATGCCACGTGTCCTAGTAAGGACACGATGTCAGATACATGGGACGACGAGCTGTACGACCGGCATAATTTCTGGAAACCAAGCTGTCTTCTAGCGAACGCGTTTTGGCTCGGTTGGGCTGAACATTTAGGTTCGGTTGGTTTGAATATCTTAGCACGCCTCAAGAAGACTAAATCCCAATCATGCTACGCAGATGGAATTAAGGGGCAATTGAGAGGGTAATTTGTGAACAAATTGGGCCGAGCTAAGAAGAGTTTTCTTTGGAAGTTGGGCCGCGTAGTGTGCCGAGGTAAGAGCTAGTGTAGCTCGGTCTTGGGCTAAGAAGCTACTAGGCCGGTTGCCAGGGCCTGGACCTAGTTATCTGAAAGTAGTCCTTTATTAGACCGAGATGTTGTCAGTGAAAAGGGCCGAGCTATATGTAGCTCGGTAGGGTGCCATTCGGTAGATTGGCTTCCAATCACACGAAACGAATGGTACTAGACTGAGATGAGACAGCTCGGTCGTGAATATATATCCGAGTATGAGGGTGTGGCCATCTCACTTGGTTGGTAGTGATGGGAGTATTATCAGGATAGACATTATCCTTGGGAGTATAATTCCTAAGAGGACTTTGCTAAGGAGAGTTAGAGTCCTGCTAGGACTGTGCCACGTGGAATTTATAAAAACTCATGACAAGACCTATGCACATGTATCACTATTCTTATTCTCAAATATAGCTCATTGCCTATTGACTACTTGCTGACTTAAGCATCAGAGAGGTTTCCGGCACACATCCGCTGACTAGCTCACGTTTGTGTTTTCAGGTAATAAAGCGACGGCGTTTGAAGGAGTACAAACTTGATCAACATGATTATACGAGAAGATTATTCTGTGCTCGTATAGTTGTTTATTGTGAACATTCACATTGTACTTTAGTGTGCATTTTGTTTTTTCAAAAGTTAATTGTATGTTTGTTGTTTACTGTGAATATCACATTGTATTTTGATTTTCGTTCTGATTTTTTATTAGGGTATTTTTAAAATTTTTAAATTATAAAAAGATTCAAAATTCATAATTTGAGATTTTCTCCATGGAATGCGGGAGAGATTTTTTCTTAGAATAAGGGAGAGATTTTCTCTATAGAATAAGAGAAAGATTTTCTCTTTAGAATGAGGGAGAAATTTTTTTTCATAAAATGATGGACTATTGTTATGTATTAGTTTTAAAATAGAAACACGTACAAAAAATTAGAAATGATGATTTGGTCATATTATATCAAACATGACTTAATGAAATATTCAAAAAGAATATGCGTTAGATGAAATAAAACACTCAGAAAAATAATTTATCAAAAATGACCCATTTTGTATTTGGTGAATTTTTTGAAAGTTTTGTTTTCACAAATGGGTGAATTGTACTAACGGTTCCTATAGTTTGGGTATTGTATCATTTTAGTCCATGACTTTTTAATTGTGACACATTTAACCCTGAATTTTAAATTTTATTCCAAATAAGGATAATTGAAGATACCATTGCCCAATTTCAAGGGCAAAATCGTCCATTTGATAAATGTAAATTAATTTGAAAAAAATAAATGCCAATAAAATATTTTTGAATTTTTAAAATTTATTTCTACCCACTAAAGATAAACTTATGTAAAATTGATAAATTTTTTAGACATTTATTTATTTGTTTTTTACCAAATTAATTTTTATTATGTGTTTGGATTATGATCTTATAATGTGTGGTTGTTTTTATTTTCATTAAATTTGTTTCTTATTTTCAAAAATCAAATATGATGATAATTTTGATATCATTATTGAACCAATCTATTAAATTAAAAAATTCAAAATTAAAAGTATTTTATATATTATATATGTCGATTGCACATTAAAAACTTAACAACTATCTATTACATGATTATCATCTAAACACATAATAAAAATTGATTTGGTAAAATAAATAAATAAATAAATAAATGTCTAAAATATTTATTAATTTTACATAATTTTATCTTTGGTGGGTAGAAGTTATTTTTAAAAATTCAAAAGTATTTTTTTGACATTTATTTTTGTAAAATTAGTTTATATTTTATCAAATTGACAACTTTGCCTTTGAAATTGAGCAATGTTATTTTTAATTGTTATTATCTGGAACAAGATTCAAAATTCAAGATCAAATGTGTCACGATGAAATAGTTGGCGACCAAAGTGACACGAGCCCTAAATTATAGGGACTATTAGTGTAATTCACCATTCACAAATATTTATACATTTTAAGTGTATGCAAATTAGATGTATCTAAAAGATAAAAAAAATTACATAAAATATTAAAATTTTTTACAAAAAACAAAAAATACAAAAAATAAAAAAACTCAATTTTTAAAAAAATGGTGTAAACCAAACAATGTGATTTGTTTTAGAAAAATAAATGACAAATATAATTTTAAGAATATCTATTTATTTTTTGTAATATAAATTTGATTCAAACATATAATTACCGATATTCGATCATTTTATTTTTTTGTATAAATATTCTATTCAACGAGTCTTAAAAATTGAACGATTTAAATTATCAAAATTAATCTCAAAATAAGTCTATTAAGCCCAAATATTCTCTCAAATTAAGATGACCAACTCGAAAAAATTCAAATCCTTACATAAAATGTACTTTCTCAGTGCAGGGTTGGCAGTGGTGGAGTACTAGAGTAGATGGATGGGATGTGGAGGTGGTTGCCACCAGTACTGAAAGAAGAGTGGGTGAATAAGTAACTTTTCTGAATTAGAGAAAAATTAGAAAGGAACTTACTAGGATTTTAAAGTGCCTACTCTGATGAGTTAAGAGATTGTGGTACTTGCTGATACTTCTCCCAAAGATGATGAAGATGGCATTTGCACGACTCTTCTTATCATTTCATTAACCACAATAAACATACACAAGCAAACATCACATGTTAAGAATGCCATTTGCAACTTCTTTTCATGGCTTTCAATTCCTTGATTACTAGCCTAAATTCAGCTCTAACTTAAACTCTTCTCCTATAAGCAGTGACAACCCGGACATCTCAATTGTAACAAACCGGCCATTGTCCTTAAAACTTGTGCTGAAGTTTCCAAACAGTTTCGCTCCTAAGTTAGTGATTAACTCATAACCCTTCAACATTTTAAAATTTTTTAGCCCGACAAATGTCATCTTTTCTATGATCCACTTCTGACTCGTTGCAAATTCTCTGTTCACAACCACCGTTCCAACAATTACCTTATTCCCCACGACTCTACCATACAAACTCACTAAAGTCCACCTTCCTCCCTCCTTGCCCATCTCTACTTCCTCTCCATCATCCAAGAAAACTTCTCCGGTGCTGTTTTCACTACTGCTGACAACCACCAATAGCTCGAATGGTGTCCTCCGAGCTGCTTCTGTTGTCATTGCTTCTCCTTGCATGGCCAATATATTCCCTTCTCGGACATGTACGTTTACATAATCAGATGGTGTATCAAGAGTGACATGCTTTCCCCGTTTTATGCTCACTGAATGTGAATAGTTGAAGAGGTCAAACCAGTTTCCTGCTGGGAAGTATGCATCGACTGATACAGTGCCTGGCTTCAATGCAGGTGACACCATTACACCTTTACCAATTAGGAACTGTGAATTGATTTCATAAGTTGCTATATCTTGAGGGAATGAGAAGAAAAGGGGACGTGCAATGGGGGTTCCTTTTGTATGTGCCTCGTACATCAACATGTAAAAGTAAGGGAGTAGACGGTAGCGGAGCCCAAGAACGTTCTTGGCTGTTGCAGCAACTGAATCCCAGAGATAAAGCTCTTGACGGTTAGTATCCTTGGCTGAGTGATCTCTAGCAAAGGGATAAAAGGCCCCTAGCTGCATGATATCAAAGTTCTGAGATAAATTTGCAAACTTTTTATTTATTTATTTTTTTTATAGGAAATAAGAAAAGAGCACATTTTCAATCCACTATGGTAACAAAATTCCCACATATTGTTTGGAAATAATTGAAGGAAGAACCTTCTAAAATGGTGTCAGGAGCAAAAATAAATAAATAAACCTAACAAGTGCAGAGACATCACCAGAATTAAAATTAAAATATGTGAACAATGTCAATTCCTAAAATCCTAATTATGCCGTGCACCTCATCCCCCCAACCCCGGGTCAAATGGTGAAATTTGAAAATGGAAACTTGTCCCAGAGAAAAGAAATCTTAATATAATCTTTATAAACAGACAAAATGACTCCTTTAATGTATTTTAGTAGAGTTAAATACTCGGTTCTCTGTGCACTATAAATAAATATAGTGGAATATTTTAAATCCTCAGGTGTCATTTGAAACCGGCATGAATTATACCTGAATCCAACGTTGGCAGAGCTCTTCAGTTGTATCTCCAGAAAAACCACATATATCTGCTCCAACCATTGGAATTCCAAACAGTCCGAAATTCAAGATGCTCGGGATTGAGTATGCCAAGTCTTCCCATGTGGCAGCATTGTCTCCAGTCCAATGTGCTGTGTACTTGCCAGAGCCCACGAAAGTTGATCTAGCTAGTATAAATGGCCTTTTTTGAGTCACTTTGACTAAGGCCTGATTAGTGGCAATGGATTCCAAGAACCCGTAAAGGTTGTGGGCATCGTATGCTGTGATGTTAGCGAAGTGTAGAGAAGTTGCCGGAACAGTTCTTTCATTTATGGGCCGTTGCCCTCCAGAATTGTTAATCTTATAGGGAGGGTTATCAAGTGTTGAAAATGGAATGGGAGAGGAAGAATTGAAATTCGATATCTCATTCATGTCAAGCCAGATGCCATCAAAAGGGAGAATATTTCGGAACCTATTGATCTCATCACCCCAAAAGATTGCACCGGTTGGATTTAGAAAATCAGGGTAGTAGACAGGCCCTGGCCAAACCACCCCCAGGTAAGGTACACCATCACGTTTTATGAAGATGTCAGCTTGCATCCCTCTTATGTAGGTTCCATATGTATAGTTGACACTGATTCCTGAGGTGAAGGCAACATACCTTTTTTAAGAGTGATTTGAGAAGTAAACCAACAATATAAACTTGACTGAACCGTTTGATCAAGAATAATAAATTACCAGGATCCAAGATGAGCACATATTTCTGACCATTGTAGTGAAGAGTATCAACAAATTTCTTCATCTGGTGAACGGGAAAGTAAACAGGATCAAGTGTGAAATCCTTATAACCATCCATATAATCAATATCTGTCCACATGACCTCTAGTGGAATTCCAGCTTTGGCATAGCCATTAACCACTCCCTCAACATCAGAAACATTTTGGTAGCCCCATCTGCACTGGTGAAATCCTGTACAAAAACAGTGCGAACGGGGAAGGATTTAAGGCGCTACACTACACAACTATTAAGCTGGAAGCTAATCTGATTAAGAGGGAAGAAGAAAAGGTTGGGGGCAAGGCGTTGGAAAATAAACAAAAAATATATATAAAGAAAAAAAATGAAGAATGTGGGATGTAGTGCAAGGTGAATATAAAGAAGGAACAATGTGGACATAAAGTGAGTATCTCATGGACATCTTACGCAAATTCAAGTAAAAACGACCAACACACAATCAACCATTCAAATTTTTTAGCTGTCTTCTTTAAGCTTTTGATCAAGGATCATACATCATAATAATTTCCTTTCAATATATCCAAAGTGGTCTTTTGAACATTTTCCCTTATCTTGAATGTTCTAATTCATTTCCAAAGCATACATCACCAAATTCATATAAAAATGTTGCGTGTCTTTACCAAATATTTAAGTGCTGGACTTTCTTTCTTATTCATTTATTTCCATGTCTCATGTATTTCTGTACTTTTATTAATGGTCTCTGTTATCACGTGTTTCTCAAAAATGCATTCGTCATCTTTCAAATTCATATGCATATCAATTTCTAAGATATCCAAAACACAAATTGAAAGGGAAGATCAAGAGAGTAAGCACAGAACCGAAAATAATCAAGAAAGAAGAGCTATGGAAAGAGGCCAAAACCAAGGATTAAAGAATAGCACAGCAATAGGAGCAGGATACTAACACTAGCAACTCTGAGTCAACATATACTGATATGAGAGTATTAATGTGCTAAAATCATAATCTGGTTCGGTTGATGAAGTTACGTTTACAATTGAAATTTGTATCCACAAAACAAGACCAAGAAAGAAGAAAAATATATCTGCCCCCTTTTAATTTAATTTCTTGGATGGAGCTGCTATAATTATTTGGCAATAGCAACAATTATAATTATAGCAGCCCAAGGGAGTTGTTCACATCCTCATCCCAATTAATTGCTATGTGCTAAATCCTAAGAAAAGCAGAACAAGTAGATGCTAAGATATACTTGGAAATTGGAAGATGGGAGTTAAGGTAGTAGCAATTAGTACATATATGTATGTATGTATGTATAGCATATATACATACCAAAAGACCAGTATGGCATTGGGGCTGGGCGGCCAATGAGCTGTGTGTATTGCTCCACCACCATCGTGGGCGTGGGTCCGGCAAAGAAATAAAGATCAAGAATACCCCCAATGACTTTATAAGTAATCCTATCACCAGTGTACACAATGTCCATGCCATTGCTGTTGAGCAACAGCACACCGTGGGTGGTTCCTGCCTCATCATCATCATCATCGGGTGACCTGACGTCCATGTAGAAGGGGTGAGAGCCATATAGATTGAGGTCGAGATTGGCACTTCCGATGTCGGCGTTCCAGAGGGTGAGTGTCTGGTTGTGGGTGAGCTTGAAGGAATTCTTGGTGTGCTCTCCGAGGCCGTAGAGGGAGGAGCGGTGGGGAGGGAGAGAAGATGAGAGCTGCAGGTACTGATCCTTGAAGATGAGAAATGTGCCGGAATCGGAGGCATCCGGCGAGGTGTCGAAGAGGATGTCGCCGGAGGAGAGGCGGGAGACGGTGAATCCGAAGGGAGTGGTGTTGTGGAGAGTGAAAGTAAGGTCTGAGGTGGGGTCGGAGAGGAGGAAGTGCCTTTCTGTTGTTTCTATCGTCCGAGGAGGTTGGAGGGTCGCCCCCTGCTGTAACTGTTGTAGGAGTGGGAGGCTCTGGCGGCGGGGTAGGAATTGCTGCGGGACTTCCCATCTCTGGTGGTCCGCGTCTGTTATCCGGATTCTCAATCGATCGCTGCTCTCATAGCTGCAACAGAGAGCCCCAACCCAAAAGACAAAAGTAAAAGTAAAAGTCTAAAAATTATTTTTATTTTTATTTTTATTTTTATTTTGTGTGTGTGTGCGCGCGCGAGAGAGAGAGAGAGAGAGAGATAACAAAAACAAATCTGTAGGTTTAAATTTAAAATCAAAAAATTATATTAGGAGACCTGACCTTTCAGATAGAGTGATTAAAAAAAACCACAATTACAACGCTACTAACTCTCTGATAAGAGACTTGAACCAAATTAGGCAATCCTAATTTGAAACATGTAAAATTATAAAAAGAATTCATATTGTTGTATACCTGGCGATGAGGTTGAGATTCTGAACATCGGGCCCGAAAACCGATGAATTATGGATGAGTTGAAGATGAGCAGTCAACGAGTTTCCTGATGAGGATTCGGTGCCAACTGATCGGATTGTGTAACCATACCCCTCCACTTCTACTTGTGATCTCTCTTGTTCTTCTTCATGGGATAGTACTGCAACAAACAAGGAAACAACAAAGACACTGAAGAAAATAATATGAGACACAACCTGATAATAATGTAAGAGAGATGGTATTGGTAATGATCTCTTCATTGTTTGGATGACTTTCTGAGGAGTCTTGCCTTCTGCATTTTATAACAAACTTTATTTATTTTTATTTTTTATTTTTTATTTTTATATAAAGACGTAATATATTTATGGTCTTCAAAATTTGCCTATCATTTGAAATTTGGCTCAGACATATTATTTTTTTCACCTAATATTTTAGTAAAAAATTTAAATTTTTTTTAAAAAGACATGTTCCTAAACGAGGCCTATACTTTCTATCTATATCACCACGTGACCCAATGTGAATTTGTTTTTGGTTGCGTTTGGTAGAGTTTTTTAAATATGATTTGAGAATAACACTACTAAAAAGCAGGGCTTTTGAGTCGGCAGCTTGCCGTCGCAAATAGCGGATTTGCCGACGCAAAAACTTTTTGCGACGGCGTTTCGACGGCAACTCAAGGGACGAAAATGGTGGGGTCGCAAAAAGTTTTTGAGTCGGCAATCTGCCGACGCAAAAAGTTTTAATTTTTTGAGACGGTAGATTGCCGACTCAAAAAGTGGTTAAATGTTTTAAAAAATTTAACTCATAATTTTCTCACTGAGGCTCCCAAGGTTCGAACACACACCCATTTGGACAAGTTGACCCAAGGTCAACGCACTACACCCACTTCACCACCACACCTCTTTCAGATATTAAACGAGATATATATTATTTATAGTATATACACTCAATATTAATATAAAAGTATATGTATAAATAAATATATTTATTAAATATAATCAAGTAAATAAATATATATCTTGGTTATAAATTTTTTTTTTTGCTACGGCATCAGTTGCCGACACAAAAAGGTCTAATTTTTTGCGTCGGCACAAATTTACCGACGCAAAAGGTCTATGCCGACTCAAAAGGTCTAATTTTTTGCGTCGGCACAAATTCTCAAATGTGGCTCAAATGGCCAAAACGACGTCGTTTTGGCCATTTTGATGTTGTTTTGTACTCAAAACGATGTCGTTTTGGCCATTTGAACCACATTTGAGCCACAGAATTTGAACCCTCTATCATTGCTCGGTAAAGTAACCGATTAATCTAAAATTTTCACCTACGACCACATTTTCAAAAGTGAACCTAAAATTGTAAATAAACACTATGATCAAATCAAACTTTGATACCAAATAGAGCCTTTGTTTTCCACCTCCACGACTAAACTAGTGGCTGTGCTAGTGCGTCTTGTCATTTCACTGGAATCCTAGGACTGTTTGTTGATCATTTAATTAATCAAGATCATCATCTTGCTTCTAAATGAAAGAGGTCATGGAAAAATTATACAGTGGTTATTATGGGCAAAAACATGTATATGCACTGTTTTAATTTGATTTTATTAATTTCAATAGTGTTATTTATTATTTTTATATTTCTTTTAAAGAATTAAACAAATGTTGCAACATAATTAAATGCTATAAAGATTATTTAAAAACTACTTAATAACTTTACAGCAGTGATAAGTGTCTAGATTTTGAATAAAGTAACATGTTTTATTAGGATGGTTAGAGGGGGAATACAATTATTGATCCAAAGAATTGTCCTTTTATGAATAAATGATTATGGTTGCATAAATTTGTTGAACTCTCATGTCCCCAAATTATAGTTTTTTATGGACTCGCGGGACGGCCATGATTGGGAAATCTACGAGATTGTTCGAAGTTTGTGGTGAGTTTCTTTGTTATAGTCAATCAATCTGTCATAATTTTAAATTAGGACATCTTTAATAGTTTATCAAAAAATTTATTAAATTCGAGTAAAAATATGATCAATTCCTCTAACTGATATCAATCACTCTAACGGTAAACCGTAACTTTCATCAAAACATAGGATTTTCGGGAGGACGATCGGCTGGTTGACCGGCAAGAGCAAAATGAATTTTTTTCCCCTCAATTTATGTTTCTCTCAATTCATTTGTCATTTCTTTTTTCCTCCATTAAATCTTTTTCATTTCTTTTTGCCTCCATTAATTATTTTCCTCAGAAAACAAATACAAACAGATTAAACCACGTACTATATAAACCAAACAAACAACGTTGTATCTGGAACCAACCATAAGTGAAAAACAGAGTATAATTGTTGGCTGTATAAATTGTATAAGTCAATCACAATTCAACACGTGGCATGAGAAGGGCAATTTGGAAAGGTAATATAAATTGCCAACCATAATTAGACACGTGTTAACCCATATTGGTAATAATGGGTCTACGTAGCACTGGAATGATCGAGGGATATAAGATGATGTGGCCTAACAGTTACTCACAAGGTTCAAAATCAAAATCAGGAGGGAAGCCTAACTGCAAACATGGCGCAGTGGAGCTGACTGTGAGAGAGCATGATTAGCGATCATGGAGGGATATTTTGACGGTTGTCATTGAGAAGTATAAATAGCAGAGAAGGCTCTAGAAAGGAGGACTCAGACTCAGATCCATAAACTAGTTTTTATCTACTTTATTTTCCTTTCAGTTTTTACAGTTCTTTACATTTCTGTACTTCAAATTCCTATATTGTACTTCATTCATAGGAGTAGTTTCAAATAGCTTATTGCTGTAAACCTCTACACGGCTGGGTCAGATCATTGTAAGTTTTTCATTTTTACTTAATGAAATGCTGCAATTATTCTTCATTTAATTATTGTTTACTAAATTCTCCTAAACAAGCCACTAGTAAAAGTCCTCTTCATTGAGGCTGAAAGAACTAAAATACAATCGTCTGATAATTGGTTAGCAATTAATCTTCTGTAAGAACTGATTGATCCTTGCTGGCACGCTTAAAATTACAATACTAATCTTCGAAAGCCAAAAAGTCAACATATATTTTTGGCACGCCCAGTAGGACCCGTTGAAATGGCTAGACGTAGGAGATAATGAGAAAATGAACGCCTAGAAGAAGGTGTGGAAGGTGAGGTAGAGGTACTTAATCCAAAGGATAATGTGATAACACATCCTATGGAAGCACCTATCTCATCAAAACCTATGGTCGAACAGACCAGTAATGCAGAACATGCATTACGTGTCCAGAATAGTGCACGAGACCATGGAATTGGACCGTCCACTGTTCCATCTGCTCAGCCAATGAATCTGTGGGGAGGCCTAGTAGATGACATGGGACAACAGTTAATGAACATAATGGAAAGATGGGTAATATTCTTTATGGATCGGATGAATATCCATCAACTAACTAACACAAGACATATGGAAAAAATTTCAAATGTCCCTCAGCAAAGATTGGCTAGAGATAAATAACCTATGCAAAGTAATGGACATACTAATGGTCAAACTAGTAATCAGAATTATGAAAGACCATCACCTCAGTCTTGGTATGAGCCTTTTTCGAGGCCTATGGTAAATCAAAATGCCTCATTACTTAACAGTGAAGCCATGCAAATTGGTGGATCTGGGCTAACACAAGAAAATGGCATGAGGATGTTTCCAAATCCCATGTTCGAAGCCATACCTGGCATAAGGGGGTTCATTAATCCTTTGTTCGAATTCGTACCCGGGGGGTTGGAAGGGTTTCCTGTGGCTGGAAGAGAAACAACACTTGTTTCTCCTATTACAGCACTTTTCCTAGGTCCTTTCGCAGGACAGGCTCAGAGAGATCAACCATACTCTCAACAGCAGCTAGCACCACAGGGACAGCCAGTCCCAAATATATCTCCTTATGGACTAAAAGGACCTCAGGCACAAGGTTTTCCACTAAATCCTGTGTTTGTTCCTCCAGTGGTGGTCCAACAAGCACAAAATAAAAGAGGAATAAAAAAAAAATAGTAGAGAAAGGTTATATAAAACTATATACGAGTCATCACTCCCCCACCTTTTGTATTTCCTTAATTAAATTTTGTTTGATTAGGAAGAAATTCTTTAAAAACCTCCGCCTTCTTTAAAATATCCTGAACAGTTTCTGTAGGTTGAGCACCCTTTTCAAGGAAATAAAGAATAGCAGGAACATTTAAATAAGTTTGATTCTTTATCGGATCATAAAAACCCACTTTCCGATGGACCAAATTGCTGATATTATTAGACAAATGTGTGGACCTATGGCTCGGGGGGTTCAAACTCCTGTGTATAGGAAACCATACCCAAAATGAATGGATAGGGTACATGAATACCCAAGAGGGTTTAGAATACCAGACTTTGCTCTTTTTTATGGGAATGGAAACCAGTCAACAGTAGAACATATTGCTAGGTTCGCTGCCTAATGTGGTGAATTTACCAACAATGATTACATGAAGTTAAGACTTTTTCCAAATTCTCTAACTGGGGCAGCTTTTGTATAGTATATTAACCTTACACTTGGCTCTATCCAAACTTGGCAACACATGGAGGAGGCATTTCATTCCCAATTCTTCCAAACGGAACTAGAAGTTTCTATGACAAATTTGGCAAGGTTAAGTCAAAGGCCTGATGAGAAGATTGTTCAATTTATTGCCAAATTCAAAAGACCACGAAACAAGTGTAGGATCATTCTACCAAAACATGAATTTGTGAGATTGGCTCAAAATGGTTTAGAGTTCAGGCTTTGAAAGAAGTTTGACTCAACTGAGTTTCAAGGCTTAGTGGAATTAACCTATAAGGTGTCTAGATATGAATCATTACTTGAGGAAGAACAAGATCGAAATAATGCATCATACAAGACTTATTATAGAGATCCTAATTATGAGATTGATGCAGCAGAGATCGTAGGGAAAGAGCCTGTGATCTGTGAGGCGTTAATTCATAAAGACACTACAATAGATCAGCAGTTTAAAAAGAAACACCTTCATAGGAAATATTCATTCGATTTAACAAAGGAAGATGACATTTTTTATCATTTGCTTGCAGTGAATTTCCTAAAGTTACCAAAATGAGTCAAATTCCTTCTTCAGAAGAACTTAAAGGAAAAAATGTATTGTAAATGGCACAATTCTTGGTCTCACTCAACTAAAAATTGTATTATTTTTCGGAACAGGATCCAAGAACAGATTCGAAAGAAAGCTATGGGGATTGACACTAATCCATTCCCAGAAATTGGAGAATTACAGCCAATGT